TTATTATATATATATATATATATATATATATATATATATATATATATATATATATATATATAAGGGGTTGGAAAAGCGGAAACAGAAAGAGAGAAGGCCGCTCTGCGCCGGATGATGAATGGTGGAGTGATGGTGGTTTCGCGTGCAAAATCAAAATACGAGTGGAGCGGGGAAGAAAAGTACTACACGAGGAAGACAGCGAGGCTCGAGAAACAGGGTGGAAGATTAGGGGTTGCCTGCGATTCGTGATTTATAAACGCCCTTTCCAAGAAGCCTTCTCTCTCTCTCTCTCTTTCTTCTCTCCTCCTCGTCACTCTGCGATCCCTCCGCCATCATTCTGTCCCCCTTTTCCCCTTTTGTTTATAATTATCGACACCGGAGGGGTAATCGAATCGAGATCGGAAGTCGTGAACACGATTTGTCGGTGTATACAACCGTACAGGAATCGTGCATCGATCCCTCTGTCACGTCCAGGCCTATAAAAGATGCGTGCGCTCTCTTGTTGGGCCGAGAAAATTTATGAGGCTCGGTTTGTTAATTGCGCGAAAGAAATTTTCCTTTCGTAGGGAAGCGTCGCAGACTGGAGAGAGAATTTTCTACGGTTCGTCGATGGATAAAAATCTTGTAGAAGCACTGGAAAATATGATTAAAATTTCTAAGAAGAAATTCTCTTTTCTGATTTGATTTTACATCTAATTACGAATTAAACTAGTATTTTTTAGTAATTCTACAATTTCAATTTTAATTGTTAATGATATTAATTATAATTTTCACGAAGGTAAATGAACTATTTAAAAACGGAATAATTCGAAAAGTGAAAATAAAGCATATTCAAGAAGAAGTTGTTGAAAGTTGTTAATTTGTCGAGTTAAAAAGCAGCATATGTGACAACGGGATAATAATACAGGAAGAAGTAAAAGATCTTCAACTTCGTTACATTCGCGTTGAAATTTTGAAATCGAAAGTAACGGGACAGCGAAGAATTTGAACGAAGAAATTCATTAATCATTTCGCTAAAGGAAATTATTTTATAATTAAAACCATCGTTTTTTTTTCAAATACCTTGCCTCTTTTAAAGATTGGTGAATTGATTAGAAGGCTGCTTACGAAGATTAACAATCGATTTATAATAAGTTGCACGAGTGTCATGCAATTGATTAATGTTGAATTTACAAAAACGCGTGGATATTACTATTTATAAATCTAAGCGTGTGTAGATTTATACTCATCATGGATTTGTTGCTCGTAAATCATCTGTTGCATGATTTGTGCGAAACGTAGCAGGTATTATCACGTAGTTAGGTGCTCTTCATGCAAGAGAAAATGTAGGAACTATGTTACACCTCTATTTGTAAGGAATCTGAAATTATAAAAAATTTTAATGTAAAAGTCCATTGCTATAAAAATTTAACATAAAATTTCTAACATGATAAAAAAATAAAACTATTATGGACAATTAATTAGTTTACATAACAAAATATTAATTTCATACATAATTATAGCAGTAAAATTTCTCAAGATACTATACTCTACCTATTAGTTATGGACTTGTAAATTCAGAAAGAGAGAGAGAGAGAGAGAGAAAGAAAGAGAATTGATTGGTTTTTAAGTATTCAAATAACCTCGGGAACCGGGGCTATTTTCAAGCTTGTAAACTCTGTGTTTTATGATCTATATGTCAAAGCCAATTTTGGAATCCATAATGTATATCTTTGCATGGATCCTCCCACAAGAATTCTCAGACGTAACAGACGTTCATCGATAAAAGTATCAATAGAATATCAATATCAGCGAGACATCATTTACATTGCTACCGAATATGGAAAATTACGAATATCTCACGTGTCATTTTCGTCATAGTTTCGTTCAATTCGTAAAGTATTACTGATTATTGCCACGTTCAATAATAATTTCAATTTCGTATCCTTACACAAAGTAATAGCGTTGTACTTTCTCTCTCTTTTTAGTTTGAATATTTGAATACTTTAATTTAATTAATATTTCATATTTAATATTAGGAAATTGTACGTATTTCAGAAGTTTAATAGTTTTAATCATTGTTAACTTCGTCTCATTTTTTGATATATCAAATTTTCTGTAATCATATAAAAGTATCAGTAAATAATACATCTTAATACGTATTAAACAATTAATATTTAAATCTTATAACAAATACAATAACGTATAAGTATTATTTATACCTGTTGCAAACATTTATAATTTATTAACAAGAGGAAGAACAAGAAAAATGAGGAGTGACCGCGTTTCAGACTTGTAACGTTAACAGAACCCGAACACTACTTCAGTTTCGTTTCGCCTTCGACAGAAAACGGACTGGTGGCCGCACACGAGAGACCACAAGAATCGTAGGAGCTAACCTATTATCAGCCCCGTAAAAACATCTCTTTACGATTGCACGAGTCAAAACGAATTTCAAAATTGCATCCGACACCGGTATGCTTGCCCATTTGGCCGTTTCGAAACGTACGTCACGCAGTTTTATTGGAGCTCACTGCATTTTCATAAGAATGCACCTACATATACACCGTAAACGACCATGAACTTCTTTGGAGGGATAAGTTTGTTCCTTATACGTTACACAGTTTTGTGTAATGGATCGCATAAAGGAGACCGATCAAATCCTCTTCGATATTTATAATTTTCACGCCAATTTAGGATAGAAACATTTTGCGAAAAAAACTCATGGCTCCCGATTCGATCGATTCCAAGGAAATAAAGGAACCGGTAGCATAACTTCCACGAATTATTCGCACGAATTCGATCGTGTTATCGCATTTACGCCTCGTGTTTCAGCAGGCAAACTGGTTATTAAAATTAGATACGCTCATTTTTGGGGAAAATTAACTTGCTTTTTAATAGAATGATAGCGATAAATTATAGTAATATAATAATATATATACTGTTTCTTTATACGTGTATACAACATTGATTAAATAATTTTTTTTTGCTTTATTCCTATTCGAAAAAAAGATTAAATATATTTTTTAATAAGTTCGTTTTTTTTTACGACTATGATGTAAAAAAGAAATTTTTATAAATTTTATACCTTGTATTTCTCCATAAATTGCCCGATACAGTACTTGAGATCGAGGGTGTGCCTTTTGTAACAAATGTCACTGAGCAAGACTTTCGTAAAGGTACTGAATACATCAATATAATCCATAATGATCGTATACAAACAAGGGGGCGATATATTCTTCACTCGTGACTCTGTCTACAAGTTGTCGGACTTGTTGCATACCAGGTGGTCTCGCGAAACAAGATCTTGGCTGTGAGATTGCCTCGAAAATGCTTTCATTGGCTAATTGAAATGGTTATCGACATGATATATACTGTGTGAATAATAACTCGTAACAAATCTAGGCGTGAACAGTGCAGAAATTGGATATCGGATAGTCTCTGTCACAGTATTTACTACCATCGAATAATTTATCAACGTTCACGAAAGAAATTGAAAAACATTAATTGTAAGTATTCTTTATATCCTAGAATGTTCGAAGTGAAGAAAATGAAAATTGCTTGTTTTAATTCTGTCAATCATATTCTGCAAAGAAAAAATAGTTGAAAATTGCCATAGTAAATCTTACACTCGTATTAAAATAATTATTGCCTATCAACCAACGTGTTTCATACAAGCAATTTACATAATTGTATGGCCAATCTTTCAAGTGTCATTTATAGAACATTGAATCTGCCTTCTTTTGAATTCGTTTTAGTCGCCTCATACTTATATCTGTAATTTTTCTTATTTTTTTAGTCTCCAGTGAAACGCAATGCAATTTTATATATGCAAATAAAAACAAGGAAAAAATATGCTGTAATGTTAATTCATTGCATGAAAAGTAGTTAAATTGATAAAACAATCATTCAACTTTTTATTTTTCTTTGGTATTTTTCTCTAAATTATCTTAATTTTACAAGAAAGGAATAATTTTAGTTATAAAGTAAAAAAATATATATATATATAAACATTACACAATTGTAATTGTAGAAACAAATTTGATAAATAAATTTGAAAATAGTGAAAAATTAGCAAGCAAACAACGAGCAGTGCAAAAATGCAATTAGTTTTTTATATATATCCGTACTTCGAGATGCATGAATTGATAATGAACTATGTGCGAGAAATGCATTTTTCAAATCTGTTTTGACAAGTGAAATAAATTCGTTTCATTTCTTTTTCATTGACAAAAAAAATTATCCTTTCTTTTATGATATATGTCACTTTCACATAGATGGATTCTATACAAGTAATTCTATACAAATATCAGACAATTCTTTTTCAAATTAATTTCACTGGTTATTATCTTTTTAACGTATGGTATAAAATATTTAAAATATATAAAGATTTAAATTATTACTAATTAAATTAAAAATTTGTAAGCTTGATTTTAACAACTAATATAATCAAGCGTTTAATATAACCAAAAAATGTTATATCACGATTTCGGAAACACCCTGTATGTGACTAACGCGACAATCAACGTGTTAAACGAGCGTTGCAGACGAACAAGAAAAAGTAGTTGATATCGGAGGCAACGAGAACATAAATCCCCGTAGGAACGGGAAACGCGAACATTTACGATTGTCCCATGCTTCGAACGTCATGAACGGAGACAAACATATAACGACACGCACGGCATCTTGGAAACGACAGCAGCGCCACGGCGCAATCAGCAAGCGAATAATGAATTAGAGGAATGGTCTTTTGATAGGGTAATTTCGAGGGTAGGCTGACACGGGGTTGGCGAGTTGGCCATTCCTAGGGCTGTTACGTCTAGACGTATCCGTGCTTGAACCATTTCGACTTTCAGGTGTCCGTAATTATCCTCCATATGGTTTGCGCCATGGTGCACGTATCCACCCGCACCGCTTAAACCTACCTTTCAGCTTCACTCCCTATAATTTTCGAAATTCACCCCTGATTTACGGCTCTTGCCCGAACTATACACGAACGATTCATCCGTCCAATACTAAAGTCGTTCCATAATGAACTTTCAATTTAAAATTTCGATTTTCGATTCGAGAGAAAAGATTCTTCAATTTTTCCTTTCGATCTTCGAGTTTTCCTTTCGATTCTTCACGCTGGATCTTTCATATCGATCTTTGTCGAATCGATCTTGCTATCAATTGACTTTCGAGAATAAGAATAAGAAACGGAATATGGTTAGATTTACGAAGAAAAATAAAATTTTTTGTTTGCAGAAATGAAAAATAGAAGAGAATTAGAATTATTTTTTGAGCATAGGAAAAGTTAGTTTAAAAGTTTGTGAAGAAAAACATTTAAGCAACGAATATGAGTTTGAATGATAATTTTATAATATTAGGTTAGTATATATGAAATTTGATATTTTTAACAAAACTTTAATTAATTATGCTTTCAACACACATTTACCGTTTATTTATTTTACTTAAGCTGAAAATATCAGAAAAAGTAAATTTGAATTAGAATATAACGAATAATCTTTCTTTTCTTTTCATTGAAATATATCAATGAAATCGTTATTGGTTTAATTCCAGGGCTCTTGGCCGTACCGAAGATGGGTATACATGGACAAGGGAAGCTTGTACAAGTGCGAAAAACTCTGGGCTTTTGGAGAGAAAGCAGGCAAGAGCGTGCAGAGCCACGCCAGATGTAATGCCCAGCTTGGTACAAGCGGCAAGGGATACTTCAACAGTATGTCAGCAAACATTTCGACACCGTAGATGGAATTGTAGTAGCATCGAGCGTGCACCAGATTATACGCCTGAATTACTTACTGGTATGTTCTATATCGAGATGCATTTTTTATTTAACATCTTGAAGATCTTTATGAGACTAACCTCAAGGGTCATTTAAGATTCTATTTCGTCAGACGTGAAAAATGATATTGAATCGTAGATATCGATGAGATTTTTTGTCGAAGAAATATAGAGTATGATTGGTGTAATAATGTAACAAGATTGAAAGAATGGGAAAGAAAAATTAACCATATTGTTAATAGATATATTTTTTTTAGGTTATGAAAAGAATAAATATTTAAATATTTTATTATTTACTTATATATATTTTTCTTCAGTTTATGGTTATTTTGAACTTTGAATTAAATATAATATATTATTATAATATAATAAATTAATATAATAATTTCTATTATAAATTACGTTTGTCTATGTTGCACATATAAATTATAACGATGATTTGATATTCGAAGCAATATATTAAGTTTTCGTAATTTATTTGTTTCGTTAATGCATGAACAAGCAGATCAGAGAAAGTGAACAACTGACATTCGCAAACTGACACGAACATGTCTCTAACATTAAATTTTTTTCACTCAGAAATCATACTACCTATCATTGTCATAATTCACTTCCTATGTGTATATATATGTACATAAATGAAAGTTAAATATGATCTTTCTATATAATTTTTTCAATATCTTTTTATTTGCCAGAATACTTAACACAATATTTAACACAAAGTTATTATGTTTGTTTGCAGTAAAAAATCACTTATCCTGAAAAATTATTCAATTTGAATAACAATTAATTTTGATAACCACAAAAGCAGCTATATAAAAAGAGACATAACTTTAAAATAATATATTCCTTAAGATATTTCACAATAAATAGGAAGACCTTGAAGAAGCGGCTCAATTAGTAGTCATTATCTAACCAGTGCTTCCTTTTCTTTCTCCTACCTCTTGTCAGCAATGCCGGATTAAATGTTCGCATTTGACGATAATTATAATATAAATAAAAGTGTTCCTGGGCAAGAGGAGATCCTTCATTAATGAGAAAACCGAGAAGCTCGTCATGAGTTTCGGACTGGTGATGAAAAACACACGGTTCCTCAATCAAAAGTATCGGAGGAGCAGAAAAGCCGCCCTTTCGCTACTGCTATGCTAATCAGCTTTCCTTCAATTATTTCAAACCGGGTACGAGCAGAAAAGAGTCCGTGAATGCGACCTCTAAAAGGCACCATGGACCATACTATTACCGACTTTATTCGGGACCGTTCGAGAGATTCGACTTCTTACTTCGTTAATTGCCCATTTTGAAGATTTCTTATTAGAAAATCGCGGCATCGTCGCTTCGATCTTCGACCTAATTCACGACATTTTACTAGTCAATAAAATGCTTCTTACGTGACAAAAATAAAATTGAAACTTGTTTGGAAAATTATTTAACGAACAAATTGTACAATATCTGAAGGTGACAAAATTTTGATTTAATTTCATTTTTCTATACAAATAATTAAAAAAAAATTATTAATTTCATGCAGTAATAAAAAATGAGAAAGAAATGAAAAATTTAAGAAAAATGTTTCTTGTAATAGGAACCAGAGAACAAGCATTCGTGTATGCGATGTCAGCAGCAGCTGCAGTTTGGAGGTTAGCGAGAGGATGCGCTCTGGGCAGTCTTGCAGCCTGTTCCTGTGCAACACCACCACGAAGGGAGCCTCCATCACCTTCTGCCTTGATCTCACCTTCATCTTTCACTGCGACATCTGTCTCCTTTGGAACGTTGTCCGCCAGAAATTCTTTCAAATGGGGCGGCTGCGGCGATGACGTTAGATCGGCGTCCAGAATGGCCAAGAGGTTTCTTCAAGGCGCAACGCCTCCAGGCACAGGTGCAACCGCGAAGTTTATGCACGCTGTTAACATGCACAACAACCGAGCGGGTCGAAGGGTAATCGAAATAATTGTACTGATATAAAAGATGGGGGATTTATAATTTTATTGATATTAATGAAACAGCTTTTCAATGATATTCTTTTCGTTTGCACGAAATTTTAATATCATTTGCATTATATAATTTCTGAATATGTAAAAGTAATTTTTACACCAAAAACACCAAAATTTGTTTTTTATTTTGTTCCAATTCAATTAAAGTTTATCTTTGTGCATTTTATCATTATAAGGCAGTGGAACAATCCTTGACCCTTGAATGTAAGTGTCACGGAGTGTCTGGATCATGCAGTGTACGTACCTGTTGGAGAGGGCTTGGTTCTTCAGGACCGGCTGCAGCAGGAAGTCGTTTGCTTCGAAGATATGCAACTGCAGCAGAAGTACGACCAAGATCAGGAGGCAGGTTACCACCCTTGTATCATCACGATAATCTATTGTATACTACCAAAAGTCCAGACTATTGTCTTCCCGACAAGAAGAGAGGAAGTCTTGGAACTGTTGGCAGGTAAATAAAAATTTTTCATTTTTATTTATTTATTTATTTTTTTTAACTAATATTGTAAAACCGGTTTCACGCTACAACAGTTTACAGGTAATTATTTTGTTAATATATGACAGTTGCACGTTCTTATTTTTCTTCTTACACTACAAGCGATTTCACTCAACTGTTCACTAGACTTACTGTTCAACTTATTGAATCTCCTGTTTTTCTTATTTAGTTGTCATGTTTATAATTCTGAAATTCTGACTCAATAAATCAAAAAAAGTATGTAATTTTAAAATTATTATTTACAGGATTTACAGTATTATAAATATATTTTATGCAATAGTTTCATATATTTCAAAAATCAATTGCATAATTACATAAAAAATGGTTATAACAATTTCAGTAAGTTTTTGTTATGTAAATAAAGTAAAAGAAATACATAATTTACATGAATAATACGAATTAATTTAAATAAGAAGATAGATTGTTATTCAATCGTTTGACTTATTCATAACTTCCAAGAAAAATTTAACAGTTTTGTAGAAATATGCTTCAAATAATATCTACAATTATTTCAGATGATGTTATTTCGAATGAAAATCTACAATTATTTTGAATGATTTAAACAAGTAAAATAAATGAATAAATAGATTTTGGATGAATTAAACAACATACAGAAGCTTAGATGAATGGAAATAGTCGTGTGGTTATTTTAAAGAAATAAGCAAAGAAATAAGTATCATCGAGTAAAAATAAATTCAGTGTCCTTGATTTACTTATGTTTATGCAGCAAATAATTTTGGTTAAAATGATTTCAAATTTTAATACGAACTACCTTGTCATTGATTTTCTTATCCTTTTAATGTAGTCGGATATTATCGCTTTACATTCGTCGGAGACTTTATTCGATTCGTTAGCAAAGAACATGTAAAACAAGCATCTTATAGATAAGTGAATGGAATTAATTATACTAGTTCAATTTATTAAAGATTTTACTAAGAATTAGAAACTAGTTTTATAACATTTTATAAAATTTATAACATAATATGTTTATATCAGAAAAATAAAGAAGAATATTATCAAATGCTTTCAATATTTTAAATTCCATTAAATTCTACGAATCATATACTAGATGATACTAGATGAAATCAAAGAAATCTATAATATTTAAATTTGTATTATTCATACTATAAAGAACATATGTTCAATCGATTCTAAAATCGATAATTGTATCGTGTGTTGACATGTAATTATATGACAAATTTATATTAATATCTTTCTTATTTATCTTTTATTTTATCCATAACAATGTTCGTGATTGTTAATTGAAAAGAAGATAAATGAACGACACTTGCAGAAGTTTTGAATGTATAAGTGACATCTAGAACGGATATCAATGACGTACAATATTGCAGAACATATTCCATCGTTGAATTTAGTAGCATACGTACTTATTCATAACCGGTAATATAATCTGATGAAGTATATAATGCATTTAAAATATGCATTAAAATCGTCTCGTACAACAGCATGATGCATTACAGTTGAAAGAGATAAAGGAATGTAATTTCTTTTTGATTTAAAAAAAAAAAAGAAAAAGAAAAAGAACTTGAGAACATAGCGAAACAGTTTCATAAAGAGGAACATAAAACGAGAGGAAAAAGAATGGAATTGTGCAGCATTTTGGTAATCGAAAGTTCATGAACCTTTGACCAAGATTCTTCCTTTTGTCGCCAATCATCGAAGTTCGTTCCCTTTTTACCGCGCACTCGATCGATGAATCTTTCATAAGATTCGCTTGAATACGTTTCACCAGAATATATATTTGTGTCCCTGATTACTTTTACTTTTTCTTATTTTAATATCAAATTGTAATAAAGTTTTATAACGCTAAACAATGCGCTAATATTTTCTTTTTAACGAATATTCTCGGAAATAAAACTTTGTTATAATATCCTTTAACGTGTTTCTTCTTTGAAAAATATTGGAAAATATTTTTGTTTGTGTGAAAAATTTGAAGAAAATTATTTTTAAAACTAAAACTAAAGGATTCTTCACGCTTAATATTTCCATGATTTTATGATTCGTAGGACATATTTTTTTTTTTTCTTTCTTTTCTTCTTCGATCAGATATTTTCAGAAATACGAGAGGATGTTTCGCATCATCCGCTTTTCATTACGTAAAATAAAATCGTTTAAATCGCGAGGAAAAAAATGGACAGGTATGCATCTAGTCGATGCATAATGCAGATATCGCACACGTGATATTTCAGGACGGTTTACGATCCGCAATTCGAGGTGATCACAGTGTACACATACATTTATTCCTGTCTCTGTCCCTGGTCAACTAATCGTTATCTCGCGCTAATAAAATACCTATTTCCATTCTGTAGATTCCACTCGATTCTTCGACTTGTTCCATTTTGTATAATAGCCACACACAACGAATTCCTACACCTCGATCTTAGTTATCGTCCACATAGCGAGATACTCGCTTATTTATACGACTGCGTCCGATAATTACCTATGAGAGAAGACCTTCGAGATAGGGCGGAACCTCACATTTTTCCAACCGATCAGGAAACCTGTTCTCGAATAAATCTTACGATATTTTAACGATTCTACGACATAGCTTGCCACAAGCTATGAAATTTCTTTCGTTTTACCCAGAATTTGACTGTTCGAAAATGGTATAAGCGTGTGTATGCACGATTCATTATGACGACATCGAAGATAGAATTTCCTCATTGAATAGAGCGAGGATCTTAGCAGGGTCCCCCACCAGGATCCCCCGTGGATTCTTTTAAAATTGAATATTTTAAGTGTATTATTAGTATCCAAAATATTTATTAAATTTATTCTTCAATCATGTTTAATCAATTCTTCAATCGTGTTTATTAATTCGTGTTAATTAATTTTCCATCTTTCAATTATTATTTTTTTTTTTTTTTTTTTAAGTAAAAGCAACATTTCTAACGATTCCAACGATTCGATGGTCAAATATTATATAATATTTATTTCGACAGAAAAAAAAAAATAATATATATATATATATCGAAACATATATCTCATTAATTCCTAACGAGAGATATCCCAAGGGTTGTACGTAATAGGAGAAGGTTTATTCAGGTAACAATCGCTATTAACACGAGCGGGAACAAAATAAAGGAAGAAAGATGTTTCTTTCTTGTTGATTGCATTCGCCACGGTTTTTCCGGCGGCAGGGCGAAAGGAGGAATCTTCGTCGCTCTGAATTATTCACGCCTCGATGTTTGTGAATTAAGATCATCCACGGTATTCCGGTGACCGGTTTCTAGAAAGAAGATGCAGACGCATCACGATGAAACCCTCCTGGCTCTTTGTTTCATTTAGCCAGCCCTATATAAATCACTCCTCGAATCACCATCCGTGCTATTAGGCAAAAATTAATGTCATTTCCGTTGCGTCTGGCAACGATCGATCCCGTTATCATTAGTGGAATAAAGCGGCACAGAAATAAAAATGATCTCGATATCCTGGTGTAAATAGAACGAAACGATAACAAACAGCCATTCCAATAAAGAAAAAAATATAAAACAGACGTGTAAAATAGCAATTTTTTTATCAAGCAGTTCCCAAACAAATATAAAAACAGATACAAATGTTAATTAAAGATGATAAGAGTATAATATAAGGAATCAATCCACGATTGATTCATTTAAGAAACACCAATATCATAGCCTGTTAATTACGTGTAAACAGATATTTCATTTCGAGTGTTGCGAGTGGCTTTATCTCTCGCGCGAAAAGAAGTTGGTATTTTTTTTTTTTTTTTTCAATTTTCGATCGGAAAATGGATGAAGTCAACTGGGTAAGTCAATTCGTAAGGCTAATCGGATGCTAGTTTCGGACACGTTAATATTTTATTTCCGCCCGTAAATATATGGTACCAGGTTTTCTTTGGGCACCGCTGACTGGCCCCTACCAATTACAGGTTACAACCGGTAATTATAACCCTCCGTATAATTATACAAAGTAGGCGTGGTGAATGTTTATTACGCCCCCGGCAATTTCGCCGTACACTTTTCGAAATCGTTTTTTCTTGACACTACTACCTGTGTGTAAAATGTGCGCCGTAACATGCGCGAGGACAAACTTTCCTCCCCTTCTCTCTCTCTCTCTCTCTCTCTCTGTCTCTGTCTGTCTGTCTCTTTTTATTCGTCGCAAGATGCGCAATATTTATGGATCGACCAAACGATCCAGAGATCGAGCATTAATACAGAGATTATAAGGATTTAAAGATTTGAAATTTTATTTATCGAATAATTTTCTACTTACTTTTTATCATTCTCTTTTATCATTATTCTATTGTATAAGTAAAAAAGAGAAAAAGAAAATGTTGGACGATTAATTTGTTTCGTTTGTAATTTGATTGATGTACACTTTGAAGGATCGTTTATCAGGACGTAAATAAAACTGAATTGATTTCTTATCATGATATTGTGATGTGTTGCAATTAATTGACCGATAATAAACGATGTAATAAATATCGATGACGATCGATAACGATCGTGTAAATAATTATTTTTCTAATTATTAATTATTTCCTCGGGGTCGATTCATTTATGATCCCGTTTTTTAGGGATGTATATTCGAGATAATGGAATTTTTCTCTTTCAGACAATGTAACGGGAGCAGTAGCGGATACGAAGGCTGCGAGTATCTATGTTGCAGCCGGGGACACGTGACGAGAACGGAAGAGGTTTTAGAGAGATGCGATTGCAAATATATCAGTTGCTGTTACGTAAAGTGTAAAACGTGCAGAAAAGTTATGAAAACGTACGAATGCAAATAAATAGATTCGTAGAGATTTTAGAATAAAAAAATTTATCCTGATCAAGTTCGAAAGAAGGAGAGAAATTCATTTCACAACCGCACATTGGGATATTACCAATGCGAGCGACAAAATTGTCCATTACGTTTAACGAGTAATAATTATTTATTATATATATGGTGCAATTAATTGTCGTGATAATTTAAAACGATTAAAAAATATTACTGCAGTTGGAACGCGTATTTGTAGTTATTTTTAGAGATCGTCGATATTATATATGGAGGGGGGGAGGGGGAGGAGAGGGGGAACGTTGAACGCTGAACAGATAAATTATATAATTACTTAAATGAATCATCAATGATGAAAAGGTTAAATTAAAAAAAAAAAAACAAAAATAACGTTATATTATATAAAGAACTTAACAAGAAATTCTTATTTATCCCGTCAACTATTTATTAAAATTAATAAATAATCTTCGATAAAAATGTAATACAATGGTGTTGTCAAAAATTTTTCAAAATATTGAAAAGATATGAGATCAAAGATGATTACATTAATTATATTTGATAACAAGATAATGAGATAAGAGCAAAGGACAACACTGTTAGATATACTGCCCTCTTTAGTTTAATTGTCCTATCTAACATTTTTTACAAATAAAATAAGGTTATTGTTTATCGTTTTCTTTTAATCCTCTTATCATTATTTTTTGACAATAATCACTACTGCATATATATATATTAATTAATTAAATATCTCAGATAGGAAATTTCAATCAAAGAGGACAGCATAGATGTTAGATATAAGGCATGGTTAGTCGCTATGTAAATAATTCGCTAAATCCGAATTCGACGTAGTTTGTATTAAAAATTATGTTCTAATAATAAATCATCACTTGATATAGAGAAAGCACATCTTTATTCACTTCAAAACTATCGATTATTATTATACTACGATTCGTACGATACATATACGACACGTGCAATTGGTGAGTAGTAAAATATATTCGTTATAAAGATCGTTATATGGTATAAATATCGAGTATAACAATAATGAATAATGATAAAAAATATATACGTTACATTTTTGAACGAATTTTTAATTTTTTAATTACTGATCGTAACGTAAAATTTTGCATTAGATGATAAACGTATCGTATAAAAGTGTCGTTTAGTCTACCGTTTTTTGTATCTCTTGAGTTTTTTCCGTTTCTTCTACTTTGATATCTAAATCCTTTATAAATGCACACCATACCATAGCAACGCCGTAATCCGGTTGCTTTTCTGATGCCCACCAAAGAACCGACTAAAAAATATATATATATAAAACGATTTATAACGCGATGAATAATAAATTTTCTCGCATTGTTCTTAAAAAATAATGCGTAAATAATTAGCATTAAATAGCAATAAAAGTAAAACGAATAAGGATACCTTGATGTTTATCGGCAGAGCCAGAGGAAGAGGATCTATTTTTATATTCATAAATCTAAGCAAGTCATTATAATCCAATTTCCCATTCTCGTTCGTATGAATGCTGTATTATTATTAAAAAAAAAATAATAATAATATCATTTATTGTTCAAATTATTATAATTAGTATAAGTATTATTATTATAAATATATATAACAAATAGGAATGAAAATTTTAATATCGAATAATATATAATATCTATACATACTGATCAAGCATAGAATTTAAAAGTTCTACGTCAACTGGTATCTTACAACCGCGAAGAATGATATACACTTTATCACGTGATAAAAATCCCGTTCTTCCTCTGTCGCAATTATGCAAATCCTCTTCCAAACGATCGAGATCGTTCCACAAGGTTCGTATAAGTTCTGTGTGTATCAATTGTCTGAAAGAAGAATAATAATTATCGATATCCTTCTAAAATGTTCAACGAATTTTATATCGCTATTTTATAACCAATTCCAAATTGGCTTACCTTATGAATTCCCGAGTATGAAATTCTTCCTTCTCGTGAGACGAGTAATGTCGAGCAATTGTAATTATTTCGTGTTCTGTTATATCATCTTTTAAATATTGAAGCAATATTTCTCTGGAAACAATTAGTATTTTTTAAAAACAATTAACCAATCATTCGGACGCAATTCGAGAGAAATAAAATACTTGAGTTTTTCGTATGGCATTATTCGATCCTCATCGTTTAATTTCTCCGTTGGATAAAGTTGTATGAATTCCTTGTAAACTGGTTTCAATGCTGCCCGTACTTTTTCTAGGATTAACTTTACGTCAGCTTTTGGAAACTGGGGAAAAAAGAAAAGAAAAATAAAAGGAGAAAAATCGTAAAGAGAAACGAAACGTTTATATTTCAACGACTTATCGGTGTCGAATTTGTAAGGGAACATTTAATCGCGCGTTTTAAAGCTCAAAACTGTAGGAACAGTAAAAACAGCGAAACGTGGTATAAATTATTGAACCTTATCGCAATGTAACTCCATGTAACGAAGAGCATAAATGTCGGCAGAGATCATTTCGAAGATAAAATCGTTCAAGTTAAGACGTGCTCCAATATAGAAATCTTCAGGCTTGTAATAATCCGGTTTCTTGCTTACAAATATCTCTTGATTAGGCAACATTATTGGCATCCTCTTCTGGAACTCGCATCGCGTAAAACCTATAAATTACACGAAAAACGCATAAAATTGATAAAGAAACCGCGATCCCTTTTCCTCGCGTAAGATAAGGGAGAGGTTAAAATAATTGATCCAATTTTTATGATTGTAATATTAAGAATCTCAATAACAACATTGGATTAATAAGGAAAGAAACGTTTACCTGAATTTCTTTTCGCCAATTCATAGATAGAAATTGTGTCATCCATAAGGAAAACCCTTATTATAAATATTCTATCTTCGTTTTCTGGTATATGCGATATCATTTTCGCTCTGAATCTTAAAACGTGACTGTCAAAACCCTGTCTACGAGAATATATACGAGAAAAATTACAAAATATATTTTCATTAATAATTTTGTTCTGCAATTACGCTTCTCGATACACGTACTTATCGTAATACAAAAATTTAACGATGTCTTTTTTCGGTGGTTGCGGTATCATAGCAAAACAGTTTCCAAGAGAATCTTCGTAGCTGCCGAAACCATTGTAAGGTGGAATATATTTTTCCATTTTTATGCAAATCTCGTCACGTTTTCGAGGTCTTTCCATAGGTGTAAACTCGTTCAAACCGTATTTTTTCCTTTGGAACGATATAAAGAAAACATATATATATATATATATATCTCACATTTTCAATTTATTCTATCGTAATTTTTATAATTAATTTATCATAATCTATTGAAATAAATTAATTCTCAAATATTCTTTTTACATTTTTTTTACCTGTAAAATTCCTTCGTAAAAGCATCCATATCTGTTATGATAATTTTTTTACCAAAAACATTTATTTTTGCACCAATGCTAAGCTCGTTTTCTTTATAATACTCTCTATTAACTTTTCCAGTGTTCAATGGATCTATCGTATAGTAACCATGAATCATGTCCTCTCCCAACACATTCAAAACGGAGAAAAGATCAGTCATTCCAATTGGATCAAGTTCACTAAAAAACTGTCAAATTCCAATTTTCTTAATTTCTTAAATTTTTCTAAGAATTTCATAAAATTAAATTTATAAATAAATGAAAATATTTTTAAAAAATTAATTCTATTTTTTTTTTTCTTTTAGAGATTAATTTATTATCTTGCAAATCTCATCTCGTTCGTCATTTTGTTGTAATGGATAATGGAGTACTGAGACTTAAGGATAACGATTTTTAGAAAATACGAATTCTTACTTTGGGTACTTTCATACGTCGCAGAAACATAAGACCGGTATCTCGTCCAGAATTCTCTGGCACGTTCTCTTTAATCTCCATTGTATTGTCGCAAAGAAAATAATGAATTTCAAGGTCATGGACAATGCCATAAAGACTATCCGTGTCATCCCAATAACCGTAAAATCGAAGTACTTGTCTATCATATTTTAAAAAATCGCCAAGAGTATCAACCGTCCGTTTTGGGTTCTTTGGAAATCTTTCCTGTTTTGTCAATTTTAAGTCAATTATTTCATTAATTGTATGGTCATAATTATAATATATTTTAAAACTGTATTTTTAATTATATATAACTTGCCTGTTTATGAAGTTCCATATGAGGATCTTTTGGTATTTCTATAGGATCTGGAACTGGGATTCCCATACGATTTAAAAATTGTCTTGTAAATTTATCGCAGTCTACAATTTTATATACTCTTCCATATATTTCCGGTTCTTTGCCGATATTTAGATCAATAATATCGTAGAATCTATATCTTACTGGATCAGGCATTGGAATTCTCTGCCGTCTTAATAAAACACCTATATATATATATATATATATGCTTTATTTTTTAATATGAAATGTTATTTATAACAAAAAAAAATTATATAATTTAATTGTATTTATATATCATATAATTAGGTGAAATAACTTTTTATGCAAAAAAATAAATTTTCACATAAAATGTTATTACGCTTGGAAGAAATCCAAAAATTGTTAAATCATTTACAAAATAATTAAAAAAAAATATTAATAAAAATATAGCAACAAAAAATACTGAAAAAAATGCACCGTTAAACCTTGCTCAAGGCCACTATTAATCACAGAAGGTTCAGATATTTTCATTGTTCCATCCTCCAAAAAGAAACTAATATTTACTACGCGTACTTGATAAGCTGTGTTCCTTTCATGAACTGATTCTTGAAAAAATGCTTTAAACATCAACCTCTAAAAAATACATTGAATCTTATTAAAAATTTTCCTATAGATATATTTAGTCGATTTATAATAAACTTTTAATCAATTCGTATTAATTATTGCATATTATCAATATTAATTATTCTTTTAAATTATTATACTTGGCCATCATAGGCAATCCAAGAAGGTAATTCTTGAGCTTCTCCACGAGCATAAATTGATGGAAAGCGAACAGGATCAGTTTTATCAAACTTTTCCGATAAATAATAAATTCCATCATGAACCTTA